TGCAATGTTGTAAACTATATTGAGAAATGTAATAAAAATTGTGGTTTGTTTGCAAAGAATTGTGAACCAGATATAAAATATATATAAAATAAAAGCGGTAAAGTAAGTCTGACCTGATGTTGACACTCAACATTAAAGTTTCTCAAACCTCCCATTACAGATCTTTTGTTAAAATCCCCACAAAAACAACATTTTGTACCCATTTCATAGTTTAACTGTTTATCTAAATCTGATGAAGTGCTTAAATCTTTATAACATGAATGAATGAGAAATCAAGAATAAACACCAACCTGTTTGTTCTTCAGTGTGTTTGATTCTGCAGGGCTCTGGATCTCTCATCTTCTCTCTGTCCTCTTTATTAAACTCAGTCTTTGAGCTCTTCCTGATGCTCTGATGCTCGTCTTCACTTGTGAACTGATGGGAATCTTCCAGCATTTATTGCTGAACTGCAGTGGGAGGAGCTTCACTGATGATGAATTCCAGTGTGGGAGGAGCTTCACTGATGATGAATTCCAGCGTGGGAGGAGCTTCACTGATGATGAATTCCAGTGTGGGAGGAGCTTAACTGATGATGAATTCCAGCGTGGGAGGAGCTGCCAAAATCAAAAATACATCACTGAGGTACTGAGTTTGTTTTTGTAGTAATAGACAACAGAAAATAATAATGTAATCTAAATTCTTCCAAGTATAAATAATGGTAAGAAAACAATTGAAAGCATAAACTGAGATGTAAATAACCAGGTGAACTGCACAGTTTGCAGAGAAGCATTTCCTCACGCTGAGCTTCATACTTACATATATCCGAGCTTTTAAAAGTATAGGCCTATTGTTAGTATTATTTTTACTTTGGATAATCTCCTAATATAATATATCGTCAGAGCTAACTATTATATTTGTAGGCATTATTAGACAGATAAATACATATATTACAATTAATTGATTTATCGTTAATAAATATTATTTAAGGTTTTAAAAGTGTGAAATTATTTAAATTAAAATGGAACAAATAATTACGCAATAATTTGAATCGTAAGTTCTAAATAAGTAAAAAATGTGATTACTGGTTCAGAATCTGATTAAGGCACACCAACATATACAGAAGAGTTCTATAGAAATAAATAAAAGAATCAAATGTACAATAATACTAATGTGTTCTGTTGCAAGTTCACGTACTCGATCTCATGTTCTCTCGTGGTTTATGGTTGAGCTGTCAAGTTGTCGTGTGTTGAAATAATCAGTTCCAAGCCTTTGACACGTTTTTTGGTTTTAATTTTCTTTTATTATTTTTGGGTGTTATTTTGCCTCGTTGAAGGTGGCAACCATAATGTTGATGCCAAACGAGCTTTAAGTGGCGATTTACAGGAGATCTGAAGACATCAGCATAATAAATGAGGGGAAAACAGCAGCTATTGTCATGAAATAAAGAGTGTTTTCAGCAGCTGTTAATATTGATGAGCCTCAATCAACACTCGATCATCAGCAGATCATCTCACTTTATTCTGTTAGGAACACATTATCTGAGTCGGGATAGATGATGAAAGCCTATAAACATTCTCAGTAGAAAAACAATGTTATTTCTCACAATACGTATAAAATATAATACAAAAACAAACTTTAATGTAAATAACTGATTTACAGCACCATTTCTGATAACTACATACAGTACATTGCATTAACATGTTACAGTTTTACAGAAACAATGACCATAAAACATCTTCAAATAAAGAGCACACACAAAGCAATATTTAACGTTTTAAGTGTTAATTTTGATTCATAATTCACTATATTAACGGCTAACGTGGCTCATTATCGGATCGATGTAACTCCAGCAATCTCTGATTCAGTATATTTTAACAAAGTGACTAACAGATTTGATTTGCCAAAGATTAAGAAGAGTAGAAATAAGATTGCATCAGCAAAACTTGGGAAATTTTTAAAATCTAATCATAAATGTGAATATAGATATATTAATGAAATCTGACACAAGAAATATTGCTCTTTATTTTGTGAAAGTTTTATGATCATTGTCAGTTTCTGTACATGAAAACTGTGAAATGTTGATGATAGAATTACTCTATAGCAATTCATGTAGTTATTTAAAAAATCCAACTATATTAGGATTCATATGGATGTTAGACTATAGGTTAGTTATTGTGTGAGTGTGAGTGTGTCTCTGAGTGTGTGTGTGTGAGAGAGAGAGTGTGTGTGTGTGTGTGTGTGTGTGTGTGTGTGTGTGTGTGAGAGAGAGTAAGTGTGTGTGTGTGAGAGTGAGTGTGTGTGTGTGCGCGTTCTTGTGACAAATGAGGACATAAATTTGTATAATGACAAGGGTATGACATAGGTATTACAAGGAGAAGGTGACTTTTCAGGACATTACCCCATGTCCCCAGTTTTCAAAAGCTTATAAATCACACAGAATGGAGTGTATTGAAAATCTGAAATAGCACAAAGTTTCCTGTGAGGGGTAGGTTTAGGGGTAGGGTTGGTGTAGAGCAATAGAATATACGGTCTGTACAGTAGAAAAACCATTACACCTATGGTAATAGAATACATTTACCTTTCTGGCTGCCATTGGTTGTTAAATTATTCATCTAAATTGTCAAAACATAATTTTAAATAGAATAGTTGATTTAGTACATTACATTAATGACCTGTAAATTGACGACACTTATATAAATGTTAATAAGAATGATATCAAAGGTAATTTTGATATTTTGTAAGTACATGTGCTATGACAAGTAAATTAGAAAATGTTCCTTTTTATTTTCTATAATAACTCATTGGCTGATGCATCAACATCCTTATCTTCCCCTGTGTTGTAAACGCTGTACGTTATGGGGAAAATGTTTTACGATAGTTTAAAATATTGTAACAAGTATTCTGTTTTTTTGTGTGTGTGAATTTATACCCACAAAGGGGCGACGTGTCCTGAAAAATAAGAGTAAAGTTTTTGGGGGAAAAATATAAAAAATCATGAAATTGTATTATTTGAGTCCCAATAAGATGGAAAATAGCAATTAATAATTTTTAAAAACTTAAAAAAGTACGCAGAAAAATACTGTAACCATGGTCATTTGTTTTGAGTGTGTTTGTATTTGTTTTGACACATATTTTTATGTCTCATATTGTTAGAAATAATAATAAAGTATCGAGTAGTTTCATACACTTTTAGCATGTCTTGACATAAATGCTGTTTCTAAACAATGAAATAAAGTGTGAATACAGACAGATCTCTGCTGATGATCATGTAAAGCTTTTCAGAAGTGCTGATTTCATGTTAATAGTTCCTGTTTTCACCTCATTCATGACGCTGATGTCTTCAAATCACCTGCAAACTGCCACTTAAAGCTCATTACATTGGTGTAAACAGACTGAAACCAACTACAGTTCAACTAATTGAAGTGTTTTTGTTGCTTACACATCTGTACAATTACTTCTGAATCAGTTTATTCTTCTGTTTTATTAATATAATTCTTATATTTGATTTATTTTGTTTATATAATGTGTATTCATCCATTTCTTTGTCAGTTTGTTCTTATGATAAACGAATGAAAAGGTTAAGGTTTATATTAGATCGACTCGCAAATAAATCAAAAACTCATAGAATGTGAACTTTTACTTATATCTATCCATCTTTGAAAATGTGAACACAAAACATTGAATGCTTAAAATGTTTGAAATAAAGAAAACATCAATTCATTAACTGATTATTTTTTATTGGAGCAGATCTGCTATTCCTGCCACACAGCTTGAAGCTCCTCCCACGACAACTCACCTTCACTGAAGCTCCTCCCACAACAACTCACCTTCACTGAAGCTCCTCCCACAAAAAAAACTCACCTTCACTGAAGCTCCTCCCACAGCAACTCACCTTCACTGAAGCTCCTCCCACAACAACTCACCTTCACTGAAGCTCCTCCCACAGCAACTCACCTTCACTGAAGCTCCTCCCACACAGCAGATCACCAATAAATGCTGGGATATTCCCATCAGCCTAGAAGTGAAGCAGAGCTGAACACGGAGAACCTGAGAGATCCAGAATCCTGCAGAATGGAACACGAAGAGACTGAAGAACAAAGAGGTTGGTGTCTATTTTTGAATCCTCATTAATGATTAATCAACATTAAAGTTATTATATCTGTAGTATGAAAAGTCATATGGGTTGTCATATGAAATGTTATTTCATATTTAGTTAAAATATCAAGTAATACACAGGACACTTTCTATGAACTGGGTACAAACTGGAGTCTAAAACTGAAATTTTCGGTCCCACTTGCCCCCGAGGCCCTCCATGGGCCTGATGCGGGACCAGCGGCCCTCTCTGGGCTGGACTCAGGAACAGGAGCCCTCACTGGGCTGGACGTGGGAACAGAAGCGCTCTCTGGGCTTGACATGTGCTCCCAGTTGAGCTCTGGAGTGCATTCTGGAGCAGACTCATGGGCTGGAGCCGACACTGGAGCGAGCTCTGGGGCTGGAGCCGACACAGGAGCGAGCTCTGGGGCTGGAGCCGACACAGGAGCGAGCTCTGGGGCTGGAGCCGACACAGGAGCGAGCTCTGGGGCTGGAGCCGACACAGGAGCGAGCTCTGGGGCTGGAGCCGACACAGGAGCGAGCTCTGGGGCTGGAGCCGACACAGGAGCGAGCTCTGGGGCTGGAGCCGACACAGGAGCGAGCTCTGGGGCTGGAGCCGACACAGGAGCGAGCTCTGGGGCTGGAGCCGACACAGGAGCGAGCTCTGGGGCTGGAGCCGACACAGGAGCGAGCTCTGGGGCTGGAGCCGACACAGGAGCGAGCTCTGGGGCTGGAGCCGACACAGGAGCGAGCTCTGGGGCTGGAGCCGACACAGGAGCGAGCTCTGGGGCTGGAGCCGACACAGGAGCGAGCTCTGGGGCTGGAGCCGACACAGGAGCGAGCTCTGGGGCTGGAGCCGACACAGGAGCGAGCTCTGGGGCTGGAGCCGACACAGGAGCGAGCTCTGGGGCTGGAGCCGACACAGGAGCGAGCTCTGGGGCTGGAGCCGACACAGGAGCGAGCTCTGGGGCTGGAGCCGGCACTGGAGCGGACTCATGGGCTGGAGCCAACACTGGAGCGAGCTCTAGGGCTGGAGCCGGCACTGGAGCTGACTCATGGGCTGGAACCGACACTGGAGCGAGCTCGGGGGCTGGAGCCGACACTGGAGCGAGCTCGGGGGCTGGAGCCGACACTGGAGCGAGCTTTAGGGCTGGAGCCGACACTGGAGCAAGGATTAGGGCAGAGAGCAGTCTTTTTCTTCTCAGATTCCTCTTCTGGTTAGATGTGAGGGCGGCAGTTGCTGTCAGCTGAGGGCTTGATTTTGGTGCGGCCGGTGGGCTTGGGTCAGCAGTGGCCGGGTGCTTGACGTTGTGGCGGCCGGTGGGCTTGGGTCAGCGGCGGCCG